TGTAGTCAAAGTTTAGTTACATAACTTGAGAGTTCAAGGCTTTTACTCTTCTGTGAAAGGTTTGCTGACTTCTTCCACAGTGCCTTATCGAGAAGCTACTCTCCACAGCTTCCAGGGCGGCTCTAGAACTCCTCTGTCCAGCAGGTATATTCTTCTTCCCAAAGCAGTGTCCTGACATTGGAAAGCCTTACAAAAGCTGGAGCTCACGATTTGCAATGCTCAACCTAACCTCAGAAAGCGTTTCTATCAGACAGCTATCATTGAAACTACAAATATGTCATTTCAAATTATGAAATACTTATAAATAAGTAGCTCCTTAGCAATAGTGATGATATTTTCCTCAAAGCACAGGAATATCATATTGAAGAATTCCACTGGTTTCTAGACTAGTACTGATGTGCTTGGTGGTACAGAGGATGGAAGGAAGAGAAACAGAAAACAGAAACACAACAATTCCTTTTTAAAGAAAGTCAAGTCTTTTTTAAAATATCTTAAATTTGGAGCTACTATCTGTTAACGGATAATCATAGTCCAGCTAGGACATTGCCCCAGAAATGTATTAGCTGAATGTAAGATAAAACAGCTCCCAAAAATCCTAAGAATAGCTCCTGAACAGAGGCACAGAGTTTGTTTTAACATAAAAATCATTAGCAAACTGATATTTTCCAGAAAAACTGCCATAATGGCTCACTATGTAAATAAGTTTATGTAAAAAGTTTCTAATAAATAGTAAAATCCTTACTACTCTGCTGTAATTGACTATCCAATGCAGCAATAGTGAAGAAAAAACCCCAAAGGAATCAATTATATTAATGGTTAAGTGCATTTTATCCATAGAAGAATCTCTGTATAAACAGTCAATTCTCCTTAGAGAAAGTCGAAGTAAAACTACTCAGCATCTTTCAAGAGCTGTCATAATATTCCTTATTAACTGAAATTTAGTATTTGGTACTGTTAATAACAACAGTGAAATCTAAAGACAAGCACTAAAAGTCACTGGCTTCAACTTTTTTTTTTAATTGAATTGAAATCTGACATTACAGCACCTCTTGGTTGTTGTAGTTACCAATAAATCAAAACAAAAGCTTTCATGATCTTAACAGTTCAAAATCAATCCCAGCGTAATGGGAAATGTGGTCCCATTACAAAAATGTCCACATGAACTTAGCTTATTGATAGACACACTGAAGGACACTGTATACTGACTGCAATATTCAAGACTGTGACTACTGCCACCTACTTTCATCAGAAATGCTCCCACAGTATTCACAGCGGGTCCAACGGCAATTGCCTGAACCAGGCAATCTTGCAATACCTTTACTATTTTTAGAATATGTGAGAAATGTAAGGCATTATTCCCTGTAGTCAGCTCCTCAGAGACAAAAATACCAAACTTGCAATAACCAAGGTGATTCAATAGCCCACCAAAAATAGCATAGTAATATTTTGTTGATATTTTGTCAACTCACCACCCCAAACTTACAAACACCACATCAGGCATCAAAACAGGTAAAATTTCTTCCCATGAATATCAGTGAATTCCAGATAATATGAAGTGAAAAAGCAATTTTTCACTGACCTCAAACAAGACTGATCTTGGTATTAAATAAAACTTAACTGCCAAACAACTTATGGCCCAGCCCAGCTATCTCAAGTTACGGCAACCAACAGTCCACAGCAGCTTTTCTGTGAGCTGGCACATCTGCTTCAACTAGGCTCATGAGAAAAAACATCTGCATTTACATAAAAGAAGCAGCAAAGATGGAAAATGTGCTACTTTGCGGGGAAAAAGCTTTGAGGTGGACTTGCCTTCACCTTGTCCTTAAGGGTGCGCACCTCAAGAAAATAGAAAAGCTTTTAAACTGGGCAAAAAAATAATATAAATATAAAACAGAGCAATGCCATATTTTAAAAACACATTTTTAAAAAAACTTCAAAGCCTCAAAGCTAATAAGATAAAATAAGTATAAAATGCTTTTATAACAGAACTTCCCACTGTGTCCTCGCAGGCAAGCCCTTACTGGACTGACTTCAAACAGATAAGCGACTTCCTGTGTTGCAGGAAATTCTGCCCAATTCTCTCTGTTTCTTAGGAAGACCTATCCGTCACCACAGAAATCTAGCTCTAAGTCTGCATGTTAATACTCAAGCTAGTCTCTCCACATGAGGCTTCTATAGGTCTTTGCAATCTCTTGTTGATGCCTAAATTAGGCAGCAGCTTCCCTGAGCTTGGTGACACAGCCTGGGCAAGTGAAGGACTACCTACAATAGGGATCATATTGGCTCAGGGACCACACAAGCAAACTGGAAATACACAAGTGCATGTGACCAGATGAGATGCATTACAAGAAGCTGAGGCAACTGGCTGGTGTCACATGAAGGCCACACTATCATCTTCAAAAGGTCACGTTCATTAGGGGAAGTTCCTGATGTGAAAAAGGCAAACATCACACCCATCTTCAGTCTAACCTCAGTTCTCCAGAAGTTTATGGAGCAAATTTTCCTGGAAATCATGCCCAGGCCCACAAAGAACATGGAGACTGAGAATAGCTGTCATTTACGAGGGACCAACAAACTTTATTGCATTCTGTGATGCAGTGACTGGCTCCTTGAACTAAGGAGGGCATAGTCATAGTCCTTGACTTCAATGAGGCTCTCAGCAAGGTTTCCTTAGTACCTTTATAGACAAATTGGAAAGATATGACTCAGACAGGTGGACTTTAAGGTGGGTAGAAAATCAATAGGACTCTAAAGCTTAACAGGGAAGCCTGAAGGTTAAGGAATGTGGTTATTCCCTGTTTGCAGCACTTGTGAGAGTGAGAGCATCTAGAGTGCTTTGGGCTCTCTGGCCCACCAGACTGACTGGAATGAGTTCAATGGTGGCAAGAGGACTACAGGGCTGCAGAGAAGGACAAGGGGGGATCTAACTGCTGTCTTGGACTACCTAAAGGAAAGGGAACAGAAAAGATTAAGCCAGACTCTTCTTGGAGGTACACAATGAAAAGACAATAGATAATGCATGACAGCTGCAAATTCTGAATAGATATGCGGGAAAAAAGCTTCATGGTGAGGGCAAACATTGTAATAGGCTGCTGAATCACTGCCCTTGGAGATACTCAAAACATGACTCAACAAGGCCCTTAACAACCTGATCTAAGTTGGCTCTGCCTTGCACCGTGATCTGGGCCAGATGACCTCCAGAAGCCACTTCCAAGTTAAGTTATTTCATCATGATTCTGTCATTTGGTCCATTTTGGTACTAGTACCAAAATTCACTTGCCTCAGACAGCTGCAAGAGGAATTAGTTTACTTCGTGTACAAGGGAACTGTTGGATCCATACCATTTGATTGTTGGATCCATACCATCTGATTGTTGCTCCTTGCACTCTTACCGTGCAGTAATGAACAAGCCATATAGTAGATGACTTTTCCAGGGAAATACAACAGCAATATAGGTTTTAGAATATGCACCCTGATAGTAAGAGTGAAAAAAAAAAAAAAATTTTTTTTTGAGCATCATTGGAACTACTTATGTGTCCTTTCCCAAAAAAAAAGAATACTGTCATTTTCTTTTATTCTGCCTAAAGGCTCTTCTTTGAGAATAATTTTTATCATTCAAGCTCAGAAAAATCAAATAGCTAGAAATTCCAACATGCAATTTGGCTTCATTTCCATACTGCTATGAAACTGCAGTATCTCTTACCAGCGTGCACACACCTCTGTTTATTTGAACTTAGAATACGTTATCACACCTGATCCTTTGTTGGTGTCTGAGTAACAATAATTTAATAAAACCTTATGCACTGGTCTGGAAAAAGGAATCCTACAGCTAAAACCAGAAGGTGTGTCCTCTTTGCAAAAATAAGAAACAACCAAATGTTTCAGACACACAAACCTAATGACAAGAGCCTGAAAAGTTCATCTTTTTTTAAAAAAACTCTGTTTTAAAAAGAATTGTATGGTTTTTTACTAATTGCATTTCTATAACTTAGAAATTTTGATTGTATTTTCTTTTTCTTTGTTTTTGGGGTGATCCAAAGTACTCTGATATAACTGAAGCTAATAAACTGTAAAAACTCTTAAAATTGTTCCAGAGTAAGATAAAGATAACATGAAAATATAACTAAACAAGCAACAGCTAGTATGTGTCATGGTCAGTTTGGAGCTGTGCCTTAGCTGTCTGAGCAGCCAACAGTAAAAGAGCAGCAGCTGGGTTCCACCTGCCTTTCTGTCCGCGAAGTTCCCTGAAAGAGATGAAATAAACCTTCCAATCCACTCCTCTCTCAAATTTGGTTATGATGATCAGGTTCTAGGACTTCAGCAGATGGTCATTTAGACAGCATGGCTACATACCACTTGTCTCTGGAAAGCCAGTTACTTAATGGTTTTAATTATGCAGAATTTTAAGTAAAGATACCAACTTTCTATCAAAAATGAAAAAAACATATTTGAAAGAAAATTTGCTTCTAGTGTGAATCCCCAAATAATTTTCAGGTTGTCTCCCCAAGAAAAACTTTTGTACTGCTCCATAATGTTCTAAATTGGCAATGCCCCAGAGCACAGCATTTTTTGAGTAATAACTTACATTAGAAGGACTTAATTCTGGTCATAGTTGTATATGTACGACTCAACATAAATGGATGTTGCATGCAGACAGCCAAGGGCAAAGTCTGGTACAAAATATTTCAAAAGGATGAAAACATATTGGACTAAAAAAACCTCCACATTTTACAAGTGAAGTAATGGAATAAAACCAGCTGTATTCATAACCACATAAAAACATTCTGCATTAATGTCCCTAATTTCGGTAAGAATATTAGGATTATTGGCATAACAGAAAAGCTACAGGGCATCCGGGAGTGAATGACCCATATAATGTAATTAAAACCAGTACTAAACAAGCCACTGGAAAGGAACAAACACAAGGAGGTTATTAATTAAAAGGTACAATATTCTTGACATGCAAACTGGCAGCCACAAGTTAAGCGCAGAAGAATTACCTTCTTCGTTTTCAAACTGTTCTGACAAGAGATGGTAGCAGCAGCCTACACTGCAAACTGCTTTGATTTCAGGCTTGGCAGTAAAAATTCGTAGCGTATTTGCAGCAAGATCGCCACATGTATGTAGACCCACCATCATACAGTCCTAAGAAGAAAAAGAAAAAAAGAAGTAACAATAGAGTATCTCCCTCTTCAAATGAAAGAGCACAAATAACAACAACAAAATCCAAAACCTAAACACGCTGCAAATGGTTATCAAGCTGTAAGGCTTAAATACACAACTCCATGAGGACTCCTGCTGTTCTGTTCTAGAACTTTTCAGTGCATAATAAAAGCTCTTCAGTGCTAAGAAAACATGCTGCATTGCCTCTGTGGAGAGACAGACTGCTCATTGCTTTGTTCAGGTAAGGAGCTATGCATCTCTGCACTCCACCTTCACCGGCAGAAATTCAAGACTATCAATAGCAGCTGGTTTACCTTCATGGAAGGGAACACCTACATGGCAACTGGACATGGGCCATTTTCTCGTCTTTCCTAGCTTTCCTGTTATTGTTATTACTACCACTGCTACTTCCTTTTCTTACTTCAGATTAACTGCTGTAAATCTGGCTGGAGCTACCTATGGCATTTCTGTTACTTTAAGTTGCTGAAATCAAACCCATTTCCTAAATACAGATGTAATGTGAAGAGCAGGCTTTCTTATTTCCAAAACTGTAGTACTGCCGCAGTTTTGCGGTGTGCCTACCACTATTCAGGAACAAATGGGCATTTTCTTTCACAGCACAAAGTAAGAACTTCAGCTTCAGATGCCCTGTTCTTCTGTCCATTCTACTTCCTACTTTCCTTTTTCCTCAATTTCCCTTTTCCCTCTATTTCTCCACCCAATGCTTGTTACCATTCATCACAAGATATTTCCCTTCCGGCATTATTAGTTGGAATCTATGTGATAAACACGGTGTTGCTTTGAATTTCAGCCTTTTAATAAGGCTAACAACAAGAAATTAGCCCAGAGACATTCAACTGTGATACCTTCCTATAATAATTCTTACTTTATATGCACACCTATTTTTGCTGCTCTATATCTGATTTTCTCACCCGTCTGTACTGTATTGTATACATATGCGTGAAACAGTAAAACCTCCCCTTTCCTCTGTTTTTTTAATTCTTCCCATCCCCCTTCTCACCTTCCACTTTGGGCTGCTTCTCTGTGCTTGCCCTCTCCTTGTCTTAAGATCCAAAATTTTTAGGTGGCAAAAGCTCAGTTTCAGCCCAGCTCAGTTTTTAAAGACTTTTTTTCCTACCAGTCAGCTTCAGCTCAGCATTCCACAAAGCTTTTTTCCACATGCAATTACAGAAGTGGTGGAACAAGACTAAAGTTTGGAAGCTAAGGGAAGATGTGCACTTGCAAAGGCAGCATTTAAACCTCAGGACAGGAAAAATTAGAGACATTCTTTCAGAAGAAAGCCAGTGGAAGATGGCTACCACACACAAGACAGAGGAAACACATTACAATGCTCAAAACTTCTGAACAATATGAGGGCAGTCCGTCTGTCAGGCACACTTTTTGACCATCACTGACTTCAGTGAGGTTGCCTGGGTATAACCGAAAGTACTTTCTGGAGTGTTGTCTTAAGTGTAGCAACATTAGGTACCTCGGTATTACTCCTGGGCTATATACACTCATCCAGACGGCCAAGGGCAAAGTCTGGTACAAAATATTTCAAAAGGATGAAAAATTCTCAACATACTTCTAAAACATGTAAATGACTGCACATTTTGAAGCTTTTTAATTACACACATTCATCACACATAATGTGCAGTTTGGTTATTACTGGTTTTTAACACAATGAAGTTTTACCTTTTCTGACTAATTTTTTTTTTTTAATAAAGGCAGTAATATAGGATTTCTTCCATCTTTTACATCATACAAATTACATGCTAAGAGGATACAAAATCCAACTGTGAAAATGCAAAGGTTTATGTCTCATCAACAAACCCTGCTGCTCAGGATGTCTTTTCCAGACAGACATGAGCTTTGCTCCACACGTTCTCAGATACTCAGTAGGATTTGTTAGCTCAAGTTGTAAGGCCATCAGCACAAACCTCTTCAATCAGAGATGAATTACACCCCTGAACATAATAGTTGTTACTACTGAACACAGATAAGTTTTTATCTTTCCATAAAAGACTGAATGTAGCTACCCAATCAATGTACGTTAGCTCAGGCATAGGAACTAAACAGCCATACAGCTTCTAGACTTGTGTCGCTGCCTCTGGGCAGCTGAGCTTGGGCTGGTTTGTGTAGACACAATCCCCGCCAGATAGTATATTACTAAACGAACTTAAAGTAACTCTGAGAAGGCAAAATATAAAATCATTATTTGCAAATAGGGCTCTTCACAAACTCTCAGTACTATACACAACAAATTCTCCTATGCCTTCGAAGTTTAATTGAAATTACAAAACCATAAAACTTAAAAAATAAGAAATTTCAAGAAAATTTTAAAATTCCAGTGCTTAATATATCCATCTACCTGGTAAATATAACTATTTTCATAGTAATTAGACATCATAATAATTATCAATAACCACAATTGTAAAATACCTGAATGTGCCAATATGTATGCTGTTAACCTTGACAACTGGTTATTATCTGCCCCATAAATTCTAAAGGCTGCATTACATATTCAAAACCATCCCAACACATATATATAAATAGAAGAACAATCTGTAGCTGCTGGACATACTTCTGCTTCTGCAAACTTGCTGAAAACCATTATTGGGCCGGAATACCCATTTACACCACTGATAACTGATGTTACTACATAGACACAGCAAACATTATGTACATATGAAAATGGTAATATAAAGACAATGGATAATTTACTTCAAAATTAGTAAAATAACCTCCAGATCTGTTACGATGTCACTGAGTTCTGTTTCCGCAGTGATGCAAGAGGTCAATGGAAAATACAGGTTTGATTCACTTGACTTGCTCGCTTTAGCCTGGAGAGATGCCATTTTTCTTTGCGCCTTTTCCTCTTCACAGAGTTCCCCACAGTTACACTGAGATGAAGAAAAAACTTCCACAGCATCACCAGGCAGAACATTCAGAATAGCAAAAACCTCTTCAGAAAGTTTGCTCTCATCAGATTCTGTCCAAGCCACCAAATCAACTTCACTGTGTTTGCTGGTTTCAGATGTAGCTATTTCTGTGAAATCACAAGAAGGAACTAAATCTTGGACAGTCACTAGGCCCTGACTTTGAAGACTGCTGTCATTATTTAAGGGCTTTTCATTGATTGCTTTACATTTAATTTCACTTTTCACTGGCCTGTCATTTGCCTTTTCCAACCTCTGGCTTTTGAGGTTTGCTGTTCCTCGACTCTGATATGCTCTCCAGTGTTTCTTCAATTTTCTGTTCCTTTCGTGAGCACCTTTAGTGTTGGTGTTTGAGGAGTCAATTCCATAAACTTTTAAGTTATATTGCATGGACAAAAATGAACTCAGGTAGCCTTTTCCAGACCCTATATCAATCACCTGGATAATGATGAAAAAAAGAAAGTAAAATTTGCTTAATTAATGAGCAACAAGACACACTTCAATCAAACACAAAATAATTCCTAAAAATTTAAGCATGGATTTAATAGCTACCTTATCAGTTTCATCCCTCCTAATACACTTAGCTCTTTTGCTCCACCTTCTGACTTTACAACACAAAATTAAGTCTTAACTGACTTGCTTCAGAAAACAGACACTGCAATGCT